GATGGACGGCGTGAGAGAAAAGCCTACAGAGAACGTGACCGCACCAATTAAGGAGTCTAGCTAAGTTCCAGTAGCCAATTGAAGATACAGGTCATTAGACCCTTACAAAAATAAACTATAGTTTTTAAAGGCGAAACTATAGTTTTAATAACTGTAGTATTTTGGAATAAAACTTCAGTGTCTGAAACTATAGTTGTTTTAGTGAAAACTATAGGTTAAAAACTATAGGTTTGTTCGAAACTATAGTTTTTACATGGAAGCAAAAGGTATTCTTTAAAAAAAAATAATTTTGACGTTTACCCAAATAATAACTGCTGCACAAAGCAGCTTTAATTTCACGAAGCTAACACAGTTCTAGTCATGCTGCCAATAATCAAACGATATTTTAACGAAAAAAGGAATTACGTTTTACTTTACTTCGGTCTTTAGTACCAGGGGATTTTATTATTAGTATATAATAAATGCAGAATATAAAAAAAGAACTACTGTTTTGAAATTTAGGCATTTACTATTAATTTAAAGGGCTAAAAACTTTCCTACAATGATACCCTTTCTTAGTATATGTTCAAAAATTCCTGTGCCATAATACTGTTATTCTTGTTGCTTTTTGAACGCCTGTTCCTCATTGTTCAGTTTAAACTTGATAGCTTTGACAATGTCCTCGTCAATAACAGGCCGCTGAAGTTCGGTGTATCTTACACTCTTGGCGTATTCTACACAAAACATAAAGAAGGGCTAAATTACTAAATCAGTAAATATGCCAACACTGCGTTTTTCCTTCAAATGCTGATTAGGTAAACAGAAATAGTCCGTCTTTGCAATACAAAGATTACGTATACACTCAAAACCAAAAACTTACTTATTAGGGAAGCTGTGTAGTTTGTATCAAGCTTTGGCTTTGTTTGCCCATTCTTCCCTTTCTGCCCTTTGTAACTGTGTGTCGCCATGTACTCTCTTGTGAGTGTTGCTCCCATCAGGTTTGCCACAAATGATCCTACTTTCTTCGTCTTTATTCGTTGAAGCACATTCTTTGAAATCGACAAGCCTGGTCCCAGAACAACCTGGTAGAAAATAAATCAATACAATAAATTAGTAAAAAAGGTGAAAAAAACAATGTAAAGTCATCCAATGAACAAAATGTTTTAAACCACGGTACTAATAATTCCATTTTCAAGACACACTCTACCTAAACCACTTTGCGTGTATTGAAATCAGAATGTAAAATTTTAAAATTCTCCAATTTACAGTGCATTTGAAAGACCTACCTTATCTGCCATAACATCAGCCAATCCAGACTGTTCGTCACTTCCACAAATTTTTGAGGAAGCATATGTGTCCTTCTCTAACTCCTGGACCTAGTTGTCATCATCACAGCCTTGTATTTCCTTACTTTTGTCTTTCAACAAGTTGTCTTCGCTAATTGCAATTACGGTTGGTTCCTCTGTAGCAAATTCTGAAAAACCACTCATCGATGTGGGAGAAGATCTGGTTGATGAGCTTGACACACATGAGATAGGAGACGATCTTCCATGATCCATGGTTGTCAAAGGAGACAATCTTGCGGAAGGCTCGTATGCTCGTACGCTCTGTTGTGAACCAAATTTTGGTGCTTGGTTTGAAAAGCCTTCCAAGGATGCAACATACTTCTTCAGTTTTCTCAAAGAAACTTTTAAATCTATAAGAAAATTAAAATGCATTAGCCAAAGACTAGGAAACATGAAATCAGAATAACAGTAAAATCATTGCCTTTTTGTGAGTGGCTAATGAATGGTGAGGAAAAGGCAAAATAAATGGCTTGTTCTAGCTTAATGCACCAGGATCATGGATTGTCCGCCGATCACCCGTCTTGTGGCACATTTTGATTAAAAGTTGGACAAATCTTTTTGAACAAGCTTACCATCACTACTTTCGATTTGTTCCCGAAGTCTTTCATTTTCACTTTTTAGGTGTTTGATTGTTGCCAGAAGCGTTCTATTTTCTCTTAAATGTTTGCAATCTTCATCACATACACTGTTGTCATCAAATAATTTAAGACTTTCCTAAATATTAAAATTATAAGCAATGAATACATATGTGTGCTGCCTGTGCACCAATGGACGACTTGCGCTTTAGACTAATTTCTTACATTGACGATAAAAAGGACATTTTCTGAAAGAGCTTACTAAAATTAGTAAAACTGCCAAGTTTGGCTGGAAGTTGTTGTAAAATACGGAAAATACAGCCATGCGAAGTTGACGATTTTTGTATACTTTTGTATTATGGCTGGAAGTTTGTAACTAATTTAGTTACACATTTCCGCACGTAATACAAAAGTATACAAAATATGCCAACTTCGCATGGCTATACTTTCCGTATTTTACAAAATTTTGCAGCCAAACTTTGCATCTGCACTAATTTAAGTAAGATCTTTCCAGCGGTGGTGATTTATTTTCTTCTAGTCACTTCTATCAAAAATTAGTCTAAAGCGCAAGTCGTCCATTGGCATCTTTCCTAATTATCAACAACTGCAAGAATGTAATGTGTTCTTACTAACTCATGTGTCTATCTACCATCTCAGGTAGTATAAGGAAGCTTTTATATTACTGCTATTTCAATGCTAAAAGCTTAAATAATGTTAACATTTAGCTTTCACATCGTCTTATATACAAGGTGATTTTACTCTTTCTGACAGAGGCTTCCTTTTGACCTGTAACTATACAAACCTTCCTGTATCTTTCCTTTATCATGTTAGCCAGATTGGTTGATCGCTTTGATTGCTCAGCATTTTTAGATGCTGCTTTCTGCCTCTTCGTTGCAGCTGGTTCTTGCTGAAGAAAACAGGATCAGAAATAAATGTGGGGAATATAAACTATGCACATAACTTGCTCATTACTATTATTTTTGTATATGTGCTCAAAAAACACCTTGTTAGAGAAAATTTGGAATGGAAAAATTATCTCTGTAACTTTAAGACTTTTACCTGTCTTTCTGTGTCACTGTCGCTATCATTTATAACACGGAAACCTTTGCCTGTTTTAACCGGAGAATCATCTTCTCTCATGTATTTGAGTAACCAGTCTTTGTCATCTATTGTTTATTTAAAATATAACAAATATGAACAAAGATTATGGCAGGGATGGACTTGGTGCTGATTTCTGAATATGTCGTATCTAAAAGTGGGAAGTAATATATGCTGTTATATAGACAAATATTAAATTACTTGAGACTTCACACACTCTGCTCTGAATTATTTGGGATCATTTAGATGATTAGGACTTCAATCACCATGATATGAATTATACTTCAAACATGATTATATTTCAAAACAGCCTGATCTGAATCATTTGGGATCATTTATATGATTAGGACTTGAATATATTAACTATAAAACCCATCTTACCCTAAATAAATTATATTTATTTCAAGACATAAAACGCCAAAGGCGAACAATAATGACTCAAGGAATATATAAACTTAATTTCAAACCTGATATCTTTACAATCTCGGCAGGGAATTTTCTTTTGGTTGCTTTCTTGGATTTTGTATCTTTCCAAAGAACCAACATTTTTGTCCCGTTCTCGATTTCATTTTGTTTATGTTCCTGAGTAAAAACAATATCGGAATATGGAATGACATCCCAAGCATTCTCTTCGAAGAAATTAACCAAAGCGTAAGCCATTAAGTCGTTTAATTGCCGAGGTCTTTAAAACACTGTTGTCGGTAAATTCGAAATGGCCGCCAAGAGAGTTGGCATGTCATACTCAGGTCACATGTGGGCAAATTAAAATGCGAGCATGCCCATATAGGGAATAATCGGATATTCACGTCTCGTCTCGACGCAATAGTTTCCCAAAATATCCCAAAATATCCCAACTAATCCCAACATATTTCTTTTGTGATTTTCCTCCGATCTGCCGTTTTCCTTGAACTAATTACTGAAACTGTTAAAAGATAAAAGATTCTGAGAGTCTTGAAGATGGTCAAAGGTTAAACACGCTTATGTGTTGAGTACAAAGGTATGTAAATGTTAATGTATGCTAAATATTGGTAATCGAAATCTATATATATATATATATATAATATATATATATATATATTATATATATATAATATATATATATATATATATGTATCGCAAATCACTTTTTCTTGACTACAGATTATGCAAATAAAAAAGTGCAGCTATAGTTTCTCTAGAATAACTATAGTTTTATTAGTAACCATTTGTTGTAAACTATAGGTCTTTAAAAAAACTATAGTTCAAATTTAGTTTCAATTATAACTATAGTTTCCAGCGGCTACTATTTGTTGAAAACTATAGTTTTTAAAACAACTATAGTTAAAGTATAGTTTGGAACAAAACTATAGTTTCGAAAAACTGTAGTTTCTGTATTTTGAAACTATAGTGTCACGAATAACTATAGTGTTTTTGTCTGAAACTATAATTGTTCAGAAGAACTAAAGTTTTAAGGCAAAAAACTATAGTTATTTTGTCGAAACTATAGTTAGTTTTTGTAAGGGGATCAAGATCATTAGATCTGGTCGCACAAGAAAGACAGTATAGAATTAGTGCTTTAGATTTTAACATATATTTCGAACAGTTGCGTTAAAATTAGAATTCAATCAAGTTAACATTTATTGGGACGGTGAACACTGAACGAGGCACAACTTTTATATTCTAATACTGTTTTATATTATAATAGGGGGGGGGGTGTTGGATTTTATGCGGAAATAGAATGATTATTATAATGCATGCAAACGTCATGGGTATAAATTATTACTGCATGGGGATCAATAGTAAGTAAGAAAATTGGATAATTAAGGACAGATTGGAAGTGAGGGTTAAACACACAAATTCCCAACACAGCCTCCTACTGCCATGAATGACCGGTCTTGTTAAAAACAAATATTATAGGTAAATAAAAATATCTACAATCCCTCGCGAACATCTTCGTCTTATATATTATAATCTCTTATCTTCGCTTTTACCTGGGAGAGTGTCCATTTCCCAGCTGCCTTGACAGACAGCGCAGCCTTGGAACACTCTGGCTTGAGATGCACGTGACTAGGCTGACCTTTGACCGTGAAACTGTCCGTAGTTGAGAAACTTTCCCGAAGCTGAGACATGCTGACTTCGTCCCCGCGATGGGTTAATCCAGAACTGTCCTCGTCTAGTAGTTTCCAGACATCTTGTAACGACGCGCGGTCGTCTGATGAGAACGAAGGTTGCCATGGCGAGACGATTTCGTCACGAACAGTAGACGATTCCGGTAGGCCTGCTTTTTCTGCGAGTTCCGTGTTTGAAGAGTGTTTTTGAAGTTTTGGGCCGACGCGGAATTTTTTTTGCGAGGAGATAGCGAATGCTGATCATTATTCCTCGCTAGTGTTCTCTGTGCATACTGCATGCAGTTCTTTGCTTGTTAGTTCATATTGCAACTGTTCCAAACCCCGTAGTTGGGATCGGGATGTTTGCGCCACATTCTGCGGATCTTTGGACGATTGACGTGCCTCAATTGAAGGCGATTTTTTCCCTCCTAATATATAACGATAGAATAACATTCTAAAATCAAAACGGTGGCAGCGGTACACTAATCGATTTTACCACGAGATTACTTATTTCAGCATCTCTCATTATACCAAAGCCGCCACGCTGCGGAGAAACAAGAAATTTTCGTGTTCTCAATAATTGTAGTTTTTCTCAACTTCTATTATATAGGTTTAAACTTTTGTTCTTAACAATTTATCAAAAATGGTTTAAAGACGCTCTGCAAAACAATTTTATTTCATATTTCAATCAAAGGACGCATTAAACGAATGTTTAGTCCACCCGTTTTCGGTACATTTTCAAGTACAAGTTTAACTTATATCTTATCAATTAACTTGCATGTTTTCTTTCAACAGTTCCAATTGAAGTTTTTCGCCATATGCTTATAACCGACCGGCGTTTGCCCAGACGTTATTCCGCGGTGTTCTGGAGCCCGGTCACGTGTCACTACCCTACATGCGGTAGTGACGTAATCATCGCGGGATCTCTTTGCACATGCAGTTAGTCTTTTGCGAACAACAGAAGCTACGCATCATGATTATAGGAAAAATGTATTCAATTCATTCTTACAGTAATTTATTTCGACTAACGTATATATATTAATGCCATCTTAATAGATATTCCAAAATATCCCTTCAAATACCTTTATATTTCAACAATTCAGCTCTCAGCTTATTTCCCATTTTAATCAACTGTTTGCGTTCTTTTGTTACTCCATTTTTCCGTTGAGCAGCTTGACGTAGTTTGGTGTGTAATCCTTTAGATGACGATACTACTCCCTTCATACCAGGACTTCTGAAAAAAAAGGAAAACGTTTAAAATTTAAATCCTGACAAAATCATTCAGAATTTTATGAAGTGAATTTAGGGTTTGTTATGTGTTGATGAGAAATGTTGATGAAAGGTTTTCCAGCCGCAATCAATTTACTGTTTTGGAAAAGGTCGTAACTTACAAATTGAACGGGTTTGAATGAAATATAACTCCATAGACAGGCGTCATAGTTCACGCTATTTTAGGTGGATCAGAACAGCAAGAGATATGCATTCTATATATGGTCTAACAACTGACAGTGGTTGGGTTACATCACAATCTATACGTTTCAATTAATTCAGTAGATTTAGAATGTTCTACGGCAGTCGTGATTGTTAAGATTCTAAACACAAATAAAGATAGTATTTCAAAAGCGTCAGACAGTACACTCACCTTTCTCTCGAAGGTCTTGTATAAACTGACTTTCTGGATTGTACGTATTCACACTCTAAAAAAAGGTGTGTTCAAATAACACACCTTTTTTGTCCAGAATATAACACAGGTTAAGGTGTGTTTTCTTACACACGCAGGTGTGTCCCAAAACACACCTTAAGGTGTGTTTCTTGCTTGTCCAGAATTTGACACACTATAAGGTGTGTTTTGCAAAAGGTGTGCTTTAGTACACACTAAGGTGTGTTTTGAAACACACTGTGTGTGTTTTCCTACACAACTTTGGTGTGTTTTCCTACACAACTTTGGTGTGTTCCAAGACACATACTGCTAGGTGGTGCAAGGTGTGTTTTGGAACACACTAAGGTGTGCTACCCAACACACAAGATCAAATTGCCTAGGGCAATTATCTAAATAGAATGAATAGTCAGAACAGTTTGTCCATAAACAGTGAAATATGTATTAAAAATAGAAAACATTATCATACAAGAAAACACTTACATATATTCACAACAAATATTTAAAAGTCATATGGAAAATTTGCCTTAATAATAATTTGCCTTAAATATATGGCATGCATATAATATAAGCATGAATGTCCAGGCATGTATAAATTGTTCTTAATCAGAATTGTCCTTAATTCCTTGGTGCACCTTTGCCATAAATGAGGAAAATTTTGTTCCTCTGTAGTTGCCATCATTTGTTGGCAAAAGAATGTCTTGTAGGAAAAGCAAGCATCCTTCCATACTTTCAGGGTAGGAGACGTGATATGCATAGTAACAACAAAGCAGGTCGATCAAACCTTGGAGTATACCTTCACTCTCAATAAATGACTGGTCTTCACCTGCCACAAAAACTTGGTTGACCTCCTCAGGAGACCCAATCACAACCAAGCGAAACTCGACATTCTTGTCTTTGAACAAGGTTTCTGGTCTCATGGTGGATGCAGGCTGTAAAAACAAAATTAAAACAGTTAATTACAATTCCAGCATTGAGGGTAAACCTAAAGATTAAGATCATTGATTTGCCACTAGCTATCTACTAGAGTGTGCAAGGTGCAATTGACAAATACATACATCTTTGAATTTTAGAACACTTGTTGTTGTTCCTTTGTTCCTTTTTGTCTTTCTCTCAATTTGCTCCACAGCCTCCACAACCTGTTCACTTCTCATTTCACATTCCTTATCCTTAATTTGTATGACAGCTTTCAATGCAGTCTCCAACTTCTTTTCAGCCTCTTTTTCCCAATTTTTCTGCCCAATGATTCTGCTAACTTCTTTTCTTACCTAATTAAGATAATCAAAGACATTTTGCAGGTGTTTGAAACAAGTTGCCATTGCTTCAATAGGGTTACCCATTGTTTTAATATTATACCCTAAAAACTACATGTGTAATATGACTGCACAAGACATCATGTGAAGATACTTACAACATTTGGATGACCAAGATATGGACATTCCTCCAAGACCTCTGTAGAAGATGTAGCTTGATTTTCGATAAGTTTCCTCCGCTCATTAAATGTGTCGACAAAGAGTTTTGCAAATGTTTTAGGAGCCATTGCACCAGGTTTTGCTTTTTTCAAAAGCTCCATATTTCTTTTTTGAGCTTGCTCATCATCCTCTGCAGTCAGTTTTATTTTCTTTGAGGCACTTTCATTTGCATAACCATGGGGTTGTCCATGCATCGCTTTGTTAACTGTCCGCCGCCGAAGGTTTCTGAAGAATTGCGACAATTGTTTCTGGATTGATACCTATATATGTAGACAAAATATGATATTTGGGATTAGGATCATTGCCATGACAAGTATATTTTAAGTACATATACAGAATATTCCCTCTTGTGACACTTACCCAATAGCTTGCTTGATTGGAAATCTCTCAACTCAGGGAATTTCTCGCACACTAAAATGGCAATCCTCTTGTAGTCACCTTGCTTTGGGTGGCTGGACAAACCATAATAAAAGGTCCCTACATCTGCAATCAGCTGTGTTCGCTCAGGGGCAACAGAGCCATTTTTTATTGCCATCTGCACTCGCACAGAGAAACTCTCAGGAAATGGGAGAGTGTTTGGTAGGGCTGTGGCATCTGAACTATTAGTAATAGGTTTGGGACTCTTGAGTGGTTTCTTCATTTGAACACCTGCTTTCACACTTTCAACACTGCTTTCACATGCCATGGTTGGCAAAGGTGGTTTCACTGGCAAAGGTGGTTCCACTGGCAAAGGTGGTTCAGTTGGCATTGGTGGTTCTAGCTCTGATGTGTGTGGTTCATCATCATGTGGCATCACAATTTGCTGAGGCATTTTTTCCTATTATTGACAAATAGTAAATACTTTCATGTAAAATATTGAGAAGTAGTCATTATTAGTGATGGGAATACAATTGATTATTTCAATTGCCCAATGTGACAGTGCCTTCTCTCGGCTTATAATTTTCAATTAGTACTGTTATATAAAAGCCTGTTAGGCAAACTAAAGGAATTAACGACAAATTAATATTCTTGTTAAATCAAAGTTTATATTTATATCCTGTTTAAACAAAGTAAACTTACGTTTTCTGTTGTCGCAGATAAAGTAAAGGCCAATTTTTGTTTTAGTTGAATTCGATGGCCAGATTTAGGTAAGACCGCTTTGAATTCGTCGATGTCTTGCATCAAAAAGTTCAATGTACCCCCATCAATAGCATTTTCTGAAACATTATAATCATAAACTGTTAGTAGATCGTATTCATTAAACTGTATAATAAAAAGAAAGCTTAACGCACACATAAAAACTTAAACGCTTTAGCATTTTGGCAATGGTTCAACCACATGAGGCATACCTTTCAGTTGATCGCAAATTTCTCTTGAGATGCCTTTTGATAACAAGTGAGCAATAAGGTCTTCAGTGAACATTGCTACTAAACACACAGCCATACTTGTGATGAAATTATATTTAAAAAACAGAGTAAATGTTGTGAGTAATCTTCTTGGAACGTCGAACGGGCAAGATATCAGTCAAATTTTTACAAGCAGGTCTAAATTTCCCGCATCACACCATAGGGAATTCCTATTGGCAGACTTACGGTCACGTGTTACTTTAAATACCATATATGGTATTCCCAGTGGTGACATTACCGTGAGAGAATAGAATGGCTCCCAGGCCTTTTGCAAATGCTCCAATTTTTCGGCTAATATCGATTGAAAACATACTGGGAAATAAACTAAGTATTAAAAGTCAGTAAGGCACAAGGCGAAATAATGTGTTTTTAGTATATACAAATGGCCGAATCAACTGAATTTCGCTGCGATTACTGTAATTTTGTATGTTGCAGCGGACAAAGTAAGCTTTTTTTTATCACTTGGTTAAAATACACTCAAACGAGCCGAATTTCAAGATATTTTGTAACAGCTGTCCACGGTCGTTTACAAAGATAAACAGTCTCCAAAAACATTATTACAGACAGCATAGGCTTTAACAGTGGAAGAAGACTTAAATGATGGGGAAAATGAGAACCATTTTCAGGAGATGTTTGACGAGGGAGAAGCACGAAGTCTAATGCAACGCCATGCTGCCAAATTCCTTTTATGTTCCAAAACAAGAGGTATGCTCACCCAGAGTGCCGTGGACTTGGTCAAAGATTCAGCGAAAAATCTACTAACTGAGTATTTGGACATAGTCAAAAAATCGCTTGTCGAAAAGATAAACAGTAATCCTGGTCAAGAATTGCAATTTGACCAAGATGTGGAAAAGTTATTTTCAGCAGAGAGTGTCTTCGACGGAGTTGATTCAGAATACCAACAAAGATCATATTTTAAGCGTCATTTCAATTTGGTGGTAAATTACCAACCTACCAAACCTGAACCAGCTGCCAGCTTTGTCAGCTTGCTTTATATTTTTTTAACTGATTTGCAGGAACCAATAGAAGTTGAGATGGGAAAACAGTGGAGAAGTGATTTTCGACAAGGGAGAAAAATACTTAAACGTGTCACAGTTTTTTTATCAAGTTCCATTATTAAAGACTTTGGAGGTACAAATATATTTTATATGAAAGACTAGCAAATAATTGATGTCACTATTCTGGTGCTAAATGCCATTACTTTGGCTTTTCAAGATTCAAATCACTGGATGCATCCATTTGTTGCAAATATTTTTTTCAAACATTTTTTTGATCATATATTTTAGGCACTTCTTCAAAACCCAGATGTTTTAAAGGAAGTTGAAAATCCACATTTTTCATGTGATGGTGTTCTTCGAGATGTAATGGATGGGGATTTTTTCAAGAGTCATCCAGTATTCTCCCTCCACAGTGATGCCCTGCAGCTGTTGGGCTATTATGATGATCTAGAAATAGCCAATCCTTTAGGTTCAAAAGCAAAGATTCATAAAATTGGTGTGTGTCTTTATATTATGTCTATGAATCTATGAACAGCTTATTTCATAAGCATGTTAGCTGCCCAATCACATATAAAATTTGTTTTTAGGTGTCTTTTACTTTGTGCTGGGCAATATAAGGCCAATGTTTAGATCAAGCATCCGCAGTATACAACTTATAGCTATTGCTAAAACAAAAGACATCAAGTCATTTGGGATCGATAATCTTTTGATGCCATTCATTGAGGATGTCAATTGTTTGGCGAAGGTATTTTTACTTTATGCATTACAGTATTGTATGTATATAAGAAAAAAAAAAGACAAAATTCCTCTAGTATGCAAATTTGTCCAACATTATAGCTTCCTATATTTTAGGCTAATGGTCACTGTTTTACCATAAATGGTGTTGCCCGTGTGTTGGAGGTGATCTGTTATTGTGGACTGGAGATACACTTGGTAGCAACTATGTCAGTGGTTTCAAGGAAGGTGTTGGAGGAGCATTGCGAATTTGTAGGCATTGTATGGGAACAAGACTGGAGACCAACAATAAGGTAAATATGCTATAATTTGAAGAAATAGCTTTTTTCCCTTACTGTAATTTGGGAGATATTTTGCTGAGCAATAAGGGCATTTTTACAATTTACACAATGTGCATTTGGATTACCTTTCTGTTTTAGTTTTTATCTGAAGACTTTTCAGAAAGAGATTTGGATAATCACAGACAAATATGTGCATGTATTGAAGATGAAGATAATGCATTAAACATCCGTGAACAACTTTCCACAACCTATGGGGTAAACAGATTAAGTGTGTTGGATAAGGTGCAACATTTTGATGTTTGCATTTGCATTCCTGAAGATATAATGCATATATTTTTGGATGGCTTGGTACCCTATGAAACAAAGTTGATGCTGAAGTATCTGATTGATGAAAGCAGATGTATCACACTCAAAGAGTTAAATCGGAGGATTGAAAACTTTGATTATGGATACATGAACAAAAAGAATAAGCCAACTGCAACTAACAGGGAAACAATCAATGGTGTCACTGAAGCTAAGCTTAAACAATCAGGTACATATACTTTTAAAACCCTTTCTTTCACTGCAGTCATTGGGAAAGTATTAACTAATTTATATGTCTTGCTTTATGCAGCCTAATTGTCTTGAACTACCAAATGTAGACTATGTAATGCTATTTTAACCTGAGTCTTTTTGTTGCAGCATCTCAAATGTGGTGTTTATTCAGGTTCTTGCCAATCATGATTGGTGATAAAGTGGATGAGCAACTGGAAAACTGGCATTGTTTGCTGAAACTTTGGAATATTGTTCAAATTTGTACTTCTCCAGGAATAACAAAGGCTGATGCTGCCTATTTGAAAGTTATGATTAATGATCATCACAAAATGTTCAAAAATCTCTACCCTAATGCATCCATAATTCCAAAAATGCATTATCTTATACATATACCTGATGAAATTGTTAGGTAAAAAATTATTGATGTAAAAGTTACTTCCAAATTATTTTTGAGTGTAGAGAACATCATCCTATTAAATTATTGATGATTATAATTAAATGTTTGCGTTGTAGGGTTTGGGCCACCTAGAAATATCTGGACCATGAGATTTGAGGCTAAACACAGTTTCCTGAAAAGTTCAATTACCAAGAACTTTAAAAATGTCCCAAATCACTTGCATTTTCCCATCAAAGGTATATATTTTTAAAATCATTGTGCACAATTAGATTGACTTGTATTCCACCCCTCTAAAGTAGCTGTGTTTTATCACTCTAGGCTTAGTTTGAATAAATGTGTAGATTTGTGTATTTCAATTATACATTTTTTACAGAATGTGTATTTATCATACTAATCATGGTGTAATTGTTTTTTATTTAGGAACATGTGCTGGAACCTTCTGAGTTCTCCAAGCAGCCCTTGACTAATTACCTGTATAGTGGTGATGTTGTTGGATTAGGTAATAATGCATATAGTTATTAAAAATTTGTAATTTTACATATGTATAAATATGCATATACAGCTATTATTCCAATTTAAATCTATTTTTTCATGTGTTTCCTAATGTCTGTTTAAGGCGATCACAATGTTGATTTGCACAGCTATCCATATTTTGGCATGATAGCTCAAGCTGCTAGTGTTGATCAACTGGCACAGCCATGTAAAGGAAGCAGGTAATATTTATCAGTTTAATATTGCCAAGTTGTTTTTTAATGTAATTATGAATAAAAATTATATCATTATATGACATAATAAAGGACTAACTACTACAATATTCAATCTAGCTACTATTTATCAACTGAACTATCTCTTAATATCACTGTGATTTATCAGGCAAAAACTGAATTTGGGATGAGATGAATCATACTATCTTATGTTTATCAAATGAACTATTGCATTGTAATCTAATTTTTTAGTCATGTTAGGCATGTGGAGATTCATGGCATAATTTACAAGCCAGGGGCCGGTTGTTCGTACGGCGTTTAGCTTAAACGGCGTTTAGTCGCTATCCACCGTATAAATTTCCTATCCTGCGGATAGTTAAACGCGCGATAAAAGCGCGTTGCACAAAGCCCGTTTAGTAGCGCGTTTAAC